CTTATTTTGGCGTCACTATTCACAAAATTCCTCCAATAGACAAGTCACCAAGGTTTTTTATGTTACATTGTCTATGTGTTTTCTCCTCGTAATTGAGTATTGCCATAAAAATTCCCCTACTCGCAATGTCAAGAGGACTTTCTACACATTAGAGAAAATGTAACATGATGGCTATATCCAACTTCTATAGATAGCATTATTCAAATATATAATCGCATCACAATTTGTAGCATCAAAATGGCATAAAAAAGATGTAGTCAGCATAATGGGCTACATAGTTTCTGATAGGGATGGCAATCGAGCTCGCCGCCCATGGCTCGGATCGGGAAAAGCTCGAGCTGGCTCGGCTCAGTAGACCCGAGCCCCATTTTGGGGATATGGGCTTTGCCCGAGCCGATCCGTGAGCTCACGAGCTTTTAAAAAAAAATTTAATTAAATAAAATACGCAGCCTTAAAAGGTAGCAAAACGGTTGCCTTTTTAGGCAGCGAGCGGCTGCCTTGCTCGCTGCTGCCTTGCTTGGCTGCCTTTTAAGGCAGTAGGAAAAAAAAAAGGAAAGAGAAAAAAAATCGGGGAGAAAACGAGCCAGCTCGGGTCGAGCCTTTTTTTTTACTCGACTCGGCGCGGCCTGCAAAAAAGCTCGGCCATTTTAACCGGGCCGAGCCCGAGCCGAAACTTTAGGCTCGCGAGCCGGTTCGGCCCGACTCGTTTACATCCCTAGGGTTAAATATCAAAATGGTTATCGAGTCTTTGTAAATGTTTTTCAACTGTTATTAAACTTTAAAAATTCTCCGAGTTACATTTTAGTAAGCTCAATGGTATCTTGGAGAATTTTTAGGGTCCGATGATAACTGAAAACATTTAAAGTATACTCATTAATGACGATTAAAAAATATTTAAAAAAATAGTTATTATTGGAATATTTAACCCCTTTATCCCCCTGAGTGAACTATGCATTCAACCGGACATTAATAAAAGGGAAAAAACCACATATACATCAGTTAAATAAAATAATTCCACACATACTATATCTTTGATTATACTACTAAAATACTATATAACATTGTTAATAATATCATAAATATTATATCCCCTAATCACTCCCATAATCTTTTTTGTAACCGAAAATCAAATGCAAACCACATAATTAAGTTGAATTAATTACACCTCAATAACATAAGCTAATTCTAAAATTATGTGATAAATAGTACTCGGCACGGTGGGGAAGAAATACTGTTGTTATGTCTTCTTCCTCATCAAGAATTAGATAATAGAATCAAAGTTTTTTTGTGATATCTCCCAATGGAAGTTGACAGATTTTGTGATTTTCATTGTTATTCCAAACATTCAAGTTCGAAGGTTATATCACGTTCTGAAATATGAAATATGATATATATCTGTATATAAGATGCTGATTTTTAATCTGATGAATTACATCGTCTAAGTGTGTGATTATGTATGTAAAATAGCTTCCGACGTGGTGGGGTGATTCATACATTCAATTTGTATGGAAAAAATGAACTTCAATGATTTGATGGGTTTTGGTAAAATCAAAGATACTGTGTAATTAATGAATTGGCTTGGATTTGAAATTTGTGCACACTCTCATGTGTTGAAATGTTGCATTAATGCAATGAACATTCTCCCGCAATATGTTATAAAAACTTTGAATGTGTAAGTTTCTAGATTATTATGAAAAATTGAATTTGCATCATCAACTGTATAGTCTATGTTCAAATCATGAACTACATTCGTGTGTGGAGTTTTACTGAAAAAATAAATATCGTTATGTAATCACATCTATGATATGATTAAGCATTGTGACATCTACAACCTATTTGTGGTATCCGATTAATCGATTGTATAGTGAATTGGATGAAAAAACAGAGGTTGAGCAAATTTTTCTTGGTTGTGTGCAACAATGGATGTAGTGAATGTGTTAGTAATTAGGCTTTAAAATACATTTGGAACTCGAGCCAGTTGGATGCAAATATGTCGACCAACTTGAGATGATAACGAATGAATTAAGGATGAATATATCACTGACGACTGCATGTAATAAATCCCACAAAAATTATAGCAAAATTTTGTTCCATTAACTATTAATGTAATATTGAATGATGTACATCGTTATTGGTTTTACCAAAATATGGGGATAATTTTATTCATGTATTTTGTTTGATGAATTCTATGTGTAATGTACAATGTTCGATTGTAATATTATTCATGTCACTCAATCTTGCAGAAGATTTACCATTGCAATAACTTTGGTATAACAATGAATTGAATCCCTTCTCATCAACAACTATGTTACAAGGCGTAGACGCTTATAACTAAATATATACGTTAATGCAAAATATAAGCGATAGCAAGATTTTAAAAATACTATACACATACCTGTAGTGTATCGAAGTAATGGCTAAATGATGAGAAATTGATTAAAACTTGAATCTATAATAGAAACCATATAACATATACAGGACTACTGAACATCAAATTCGATAAATAATATTCAAATCCACAAAAAATCTGACTAGCCACATGGTTTCGAGTTTGATGAACATTTTCACTGATAGAGAATTCAAAGTCAAACCACAATAAGATGATCGAGAACAAAGTTGAGTCAAATTGAGTTGCTTCTAATTGACTTTTGTCATACTAGCAAATTTGAAAAAAGGATAGCAGATTTTTAGATGATGAGCGAAGACTATGGTTTAAATCCAACTGTTGAACAAATCAATATCATGATTGACCTCCTTTGTCAATCACGAGGCTGGACGAAGCTTTTGAATTATTATATGTGATATTTGAAATGTAAGTATTATTCAGATTCCAAGCTAGGAGAAGAAATGTGTAAGTGGCTTTTGGAGTTGGAGCCAGAAAGTGAAACTTCTATTTGTTATTTTGTCCAGCATATAGACAATGTAAGTGGAAGGAAGTGGGGAAGATCAGAACGATAGAGAGAAAGAAAGGACTTAAGAAACTCCTCAATAATAATTTGACAAGGGTGATGTAAAAAGCTAGAAAACTGATTTTTACTTAGCTATTCTTTTAACAATCGAAGACAAGCAATCGATTCTACTTTGATATTTAGTCAAGCTACTCTAGCTCCGTAGAAAATTCGACGGTGAAGAAATTGAAGCAAAAACTTGGTTGAAGAAGGTTTTTTTGGAAAGGAAATTTGAGGTAAAAGATAGGGAATGAAATTACAGCAGTATTATTGTGCTTGAAATGTAGATTTGTGCAATGAAAGAGGAAACTAATTAATTTAGAGTGGTCTAAATTATATTAGGGAGTTATTTGATTTTTAAGTAATCAATTATACCATTAGTTCCCAATATTCCTAGGAATAAAATTAGTGATATGTATATTCTGAAATTTTTATTTAAAAGAGTTGTGTGGAGTAGTTTTCACTTAATAAAATGGTCCTTGTAAAACTAAAAAGACTCTCCTTACGTGATTAGATTACTCATATATAAATCATAAATCAAATAAAAATTTAAAATTATATGTGCATTTATCAAATAGGCTCTTGCCAATGAGAGTAGGTCATCGCTTGTCTTACCGCAATCTTTTGTTCTTTTATATAACTTTTAAAATAGTTTGATTATAAATTTCCAAACATAGTTTAAACTTTTTAAAAATTGCTATTAAAAATTATTCAAGATCAAATTTTTCATAAAGGTAATTAGCACAAAACTTTATTACCTTTCAATATTATTGTACAAAATATACTTATCTCATTTTTTGGCATTTTCACTCATACTTTCACTTTTCATTGCGAAAATCATCATTTTCATCTAATTTCTCATATAAAATGACAAATATACCTTCATATTGAAATAAAATAAAAAAAGAAAACAAAAATTAAATAAAAAATTGCAATCGTACTCTCAAACTTTTTTAAAAATTGCGAATAAGTCCAAATAAATTATTAAAAGAGTATTTAGCATAAACCGTCCATAATATTATCGAGCAAAATTCCTTACCTTTCATTTTTTTTTTGATATATTCACCATTACTTTCATATTTTATTTTCAAAATCATCATTTTTATCGATTTCTCAATTAAAAGTTATGAAATAACAAATATACCCTACATTGTTTAAACAAACAAAAATAAAGAAAAGAAAAATAAAAAACAAATGGCTACTATAATCTCAAAATTTTCAAAAAAAATACAAATAAGTTCTACTTTCTTTTTTAATTATTTATTTGAAATTTATTTGTACTTTTTAAAAAAATTTAGTAGTATAGATGCAATTTGTTCTTTATTTTTGTTTGGTTTAAAAGGAGAGGGTATATTTATTGTTTCATAGATTTTAATTGAGAAATTGATGATTTTCGAAATAAAATGTGAAAATAAAGGTAAAATTGTAAAAAAAAAATTAAATGTAGGAACTTTTTGCACAATAATATTAAAAGATAGTTACGTTTTGTGCTAAATACTTTTTTAATAATTTATTTAAACTTATTCGCACTTTTTAAAAAAGTTTGGAAGTATGATTGTAATTTGTTATTTAAAATTTTCTTTTCTTTTTTTATTATTTAAATAGGAGGGTATATTTGTCATTTTATACGAGAAATTGGATGAAAATAATAATTTTTACAATCAAAGATAAAAGTAGAGGTGAAAATATCAAAAAATAAAAGATAAAAATATTTTACACAATATCATAAAAAGATATAGAGTCTGTTTGGAAGTGATTTTGAGAATTGATTTTTTGATCGTTAGGAGAAAAGTGAGGTCCACTTATGAAAGAAAAAATCAAATATGACGGTTAAAATAATAAAATAACGGTCAAAAAATCACTCTCAAACAAGCTGATAGACGTTATGTACTAATTATCCTTTACAAAGTCAGTCCTTCAAAAAACCATAATGGTACCCAAAACTCTCACGAATGCCCCATAAGTCACCGATTCGAAATAAGAATATTTCGACCCTAAACCTCCCACCCCCACGCGGCCTCCTCTCTGGTGGCTTCCCCCTTTCCACGTTCCCTAATGACCTCTACCATCAATGCGCCACCACCGCCACCATTTATAGCATTGCCCCCAAATGCTATTCGGATTCTATTCTACATCAATAACTCATGAACTCTCTAATCAACAATATCGTCATCAGCGGCAGCCTCATTTCTCGAAATGGTAAAGGCCCTCAAATTCCAATCCCCACCCCTGATTCGCTTTTCCAAAATCTCTAGAAGTTGCTGCCCTTTACCCATCTCCCTCTTTTTCTCCTCACAACCGGTTCAACAACAAAATCTAGAACAAGAGCATCATAGCTCATCCAGCTTAGTCTCTAGAGTATGCGAAATCCTATCCAATCGGAGAGTCGATTGGCGGCGAAGCTCGGAGCTAGAGTCCTTGAGCTTGAAGCTCAAACCTCACCATGTTGCCAAAATAATCGAAACCCACAATAGCACCGACTTAGTTTTACAGTTTTTTTATTGGGTTTCTAAGAGGCCTTTCTACAAACATGATTTGAGCTGTTATGTTTCTATGTTGAATAGGCTGGTTAAAAATAAGATTTTTACGCACGCTGACCATGTTAGGATTCTTTTGATTAAAGCCTGTAGGAATGAGGGAGAACTTAGAAATGTTCTTGATTTTTTGAATGAGATTAGTAAAATGGGTCTTTCTTTTAGTCTGTACAGTTTTAATACTTTGTTGATTCAATTGGGCAAGTTTGATATGGTGGTCATGGCTCAGAATGTGTATAAGGAATTGTTGAATAGTGGGATCAAACCAAATTTGTTGACTTTGAATACCATGATTAATATCTTCTGTAAGAAGGGGAAGGTTGAAGAGGCTGAAATTATATTGAGTCGCATTTACCAGTATGAAATGTTGCCAGATGTGTTCACGTACACATCATTGATTCTTGGGCATTGTAGAACTAGGAATTTTGTTAAGGCGTTTGTTGTTTTTGATCAGATGGTGAAGAAGGGCATTGATCCAAATTCGGTAACATATACTACTCTTATCAATGGGCTATGTGAAAATGGAAGAGTGGACGAGGCACTGGGCATGATAGAGGAGATGATTGAGAATGGGATTGAACCAACCATATATACCTACACGGTGCCTATTACTGCATTGCTTGCAGTTGGGCGCATGAATGACGCTATCAATCTAGTTGCTAGCATGAAAGAGAGAGGTTGCCATCCCAATGTTCAGACCTATACTGCTCTTATTAGTGGGTTGGGCAAATCCAGTCAACTTGAGGTAGCTGTTGGATTGTACCATAAGATGTTGAGAAAGGGCTTGATGCCAACGGCAGTCACATACAATGCTTTGATAAATGAATTGTGTGATGGTGGGAAACTTGATACTGCATTTAGAATTTTTCATTGGATGGAGGGACATGGTTACTTGCCAAATGCTCAAACCTATAATGCAATGATAAAAGGACTCTGCATGATTGGAAATATTGAGAGGGCGATGATTCTATATAACGAAATGCTGAAGGTGGGTCCTGCACCTACAGTGATTACGTACAACACTCTCATTAATGGATACCTGGAAAGGGGTTGTCTGGACAATGCTATGAGATTATTAGAGGTGATGAAGGAAAGTGGTTGTCAACCAGATGAATGGACATATGCAGAACTTGTTTCAGGTTTTTGCGAAAGGGGGAAGCTTGATATGGCTTCTGCACTTTTTCAGGAAATGATGCAACGAGGTTTGAGCCCAAATCAGGTGAACTACACCACTTTGATCGATGGCCTTTGCAAGGAAGGGAAAGTTGATGATTCGCTGATATTATTTGAAGGAATGTTCAAGAGTGGTTGTGATCCAGATATTGAGACTTACAACTCGGTTATAAATGGTTTGTCGAGAGGGAACAGGCTTTCTGAAGCAGAGAAACTATGCAATAAGATGGTAGAAAGTGGACTTCTTCCAAACGTGATAACCTACACAACTTTAATTGATGGTCTGTGTAAGAATGGTGGAACACATCTTGCATTCAAGATTTTCCATGAAATGGAGAAAAGGAATTGCTTACCAAACTTGTACACTTATAGTTCACTAATCCATGGATTATGTTTGGAAGGTCAGGCTGATCGTGCAGAGATGTTACTTGAAGAAATGGCGAGCAAAAAGTTATCTCCTGATCAGGTCACATATACTTCATTGATTGACGGGTTTGTCACTCTGGGTAGATTAAATCACGCATTTGAACTTCTTCATCTGATGGTACATGCGGGCTGCAAACCTAACTACCGAACATTCTGTGTGTTGCTGAAAGGGTTGCAAAAGGAATGTCGGATGCTTGCAGAAAAAGTTGCAGTCCAACATGAAACAGTCTACAGCTGCAATGCAGATGAAAAGGATTTTACATATGATACTTTATGTAATCTCCTAGTTAGGTTGTCCGAGATTCACCATGAACCTTCTGTTGATACATATTGCTGTTTAATTGCTGGCCTCTGTAGAGGTGGCAAATTGTATGAGGCAGAACAGTTGGTTAAATATATGAAAGAGAAAGGGCTAAGTCCTAATGATGCAATTTATTGCTCTCTCCTCAGTGCTTACTGCAAGTATTTGAGAATGGAGCCTGCTCTAGAAGTATTTAATTTATTAGTTGTCAGAGGTTACAATCCTTCTTTATCAATTTATAGACAACTTATTTCCTCTCTTTGCAAGATAAATTGGGTCAAAGAGGCCGAAATTTTGTTTGAGAACATGCTTGAGAAACAATGGAATACTGATGAAATTGTTTGGACTATCTTGCTTGATGGATTGCTCAAGGAGGGGGAATCGAAAGTATGCTTGAAGCTTCTTCATACTATGATCTCTAAGAATTGCTCTATCAGTTTGCAAACATATGTCATGCTGGCAAGAGAATTATCCGAAGTTGACCAAACTATTGATATGAACCAAGTTGCTGATAAATTGCAAAGCCTGAGAAAGAAAAAACCAGGCTGAAGTCTTCATTTTAATGAATTGACCGCGTAGAAAACATATTGCCTTCTCTTGGAAGACAGATCCTCCTGTACATCGTCCCTTGCTATTTCACTTGATTCTAATGGCCCTTTTGCAGCATCTGTAAATATAATTTTTGAGCTGCAATCTATGATCAATGAGTGGTAAGCCTATTGTGCTTTTCTATGGGAATCTTGATGGCCCGAGTTTCTATTTTGTTTTTATTTGCATGGTTTAATTCAAGCTCATTAAAAGAAACAAAATTAGTTTACTGAGGTTGTTACTGTATTGTTGTTCTGTCATAATATGTGAGTTTTCCAATGGTACACAGGTTGACTGTTTACAGAAGAACTCACCTAACTAGGATCACCAACACTTGGGGTCTGATTCAGGGAATTTGTCATGATGACAGGACGAGGGAGATGTACCCTGTATTGAACTTATCATTTCAGGTAAATAGTGAACTCCCGAATCTTTGAATTTAAGCTCCGCTTTGGAATTTAATTAGCTATATAATGATAATAACAATATTGAGGTTCCACCATATCTTAAAGAAGAACAAGCACCTGTAAAGCAATAAGCTGGAAATTAATTGATAACTGATAAAATATAATAATGCAACTGTTCAATATCTTTCCAGTACTTGGTCGCTACCACAATAAAGTTGCCATCTAAAACCAAATAACAAGTGAAAACTAATGGAGAGTTGTTGCAACTCTTGTTCTTGTTTCAGAATTTGTAACATAAAAATTTGGGACAGGCTGCTTGCTTTTTATGCAAATGCAAACAAAGAAGCAGCTTAGAATTGCATATTTCCTTGGGCTTGGCTTAATTTATGGATTATTTTATATTATGGTACTGTAATTAATTCCTTTAAATAAGTGGATGGGAATATATTTTGTAGTTCCGTGTATTCTAGGATTTTTATTTGTTTCTGGGTTGCATAATTACAGTTCGTGCCTTTCTGATTTATGTTTGCTGACTTTAAATATAAGTTGTCTAGAGAATATTAATTTGAAAAAATTTACACTACAACCGCTCATATTATAGTCAGTGACTCAATGCAACTAGGCACCAAGAATTTGTGAGATTGCTGTGTTTGTCATGAAGCCATACCTCATTTTGAAGCAAGAAAGAATCTTCGACTACATGGAGTGGCCAAAGAAAAAATTTCTACTGTCCTTACTATGTTGGAAATCTTCATCCTGTAGATGTTGCATAAAGAAATTACTTGCATTAAACTTGGTAAATCTTATAAAATGATCACTTGTGATGAGGCTCATTGACAATGATCCATATTGGAGAAAGTTTGGAAGCTGACTTAGTCTGGAGAAGCACAAAAGGTTGTTAATTTGTGCATTAGGGTCGGTAATCAGACTTTGACGTATGCCTTAACTAGGTATCTAGTGGATCATGCAATGTTCGGTTCATGTTAAAAATTTGCTTAACATGGGAATTTGGAGCGAATCGAGCTTGGTTTGGTCACCCTAAGCCAAAACTTCTTATTTATTGATTTTGCCTAGTGTTAGGGAGGCTACTCAACAAGGCCTGTTAGTCTTATTTTTTTAATTAGATCGCACATACTAAAGCGAAGGGCTTTCACGTCGAGAATTATTTGCAAATGAAGAGATGTTAAAGGGGCTTCTTACTTCCCAAATAGGTCCTCGTACATCTATTATACTGGTTTATCAACATATTTTCTTAACTATATATATGACCTGCATCTTTTCTTAATTATAACTAGGTATCTGGATCTTTCATGGATTTGTGTTGTTATTACCTGTTATTTGCCTCTTATTTATGGGATTATAGAGTTTGATTTTCTTAGACTAATTCCATCTGCAGGTTGCTATTTTACAGCTACGAATGGATACCTGTATACACAGTTAATCTCATCACAAATCGTACAAGAGTGATGAGATAAGAACAACAATTTTGTACAGATTTGTTCTGCTCTTGTATTGCTGGGGCAAAGGTTTTATTCTTTTCTTCTAATTTAGCAAATTATTGTTCTCATTCATACAAAATTATAGTTCCCAAATGGAAATTAGGCTCGCCAAGAATAAAAGGGTTATCGTATCATTACAGTCTTGGTTTAATAAACTTCTTGTGAAGCTTGAATCATGCATTGCATGTAAATTGATTCTATGATCAATCTTGACCGTTAGATTCTATGTGCAGTTTACTGAGAATGTCAGGTTTGATCTGAAATTATTCGGGAATATAGCTACAATCCTAACATTATGCGGTGTTACAAGTAATGCCGTGGCTGAGAGACTACTTTTATAGATGGGAGAGTTGGTTAAACGGCCTAGTCAAGCAATGTATTTGGTTAAGTATCCTTCTCTTAATGTTTTCTGGTCAAATAGCCTCCAATTATGAAATACAATAAACAAACAATGTCAAATGTCATAAATATCCCCACCATGGGAAAAGACTCTTTAACACCCATATCAATCCAATTAATTCCCAAATTCAAGTTTATGTTTTCAAATCACAATTACGTGTTTCTTATCTTCAACTGTCATACTTGTTACTCTAAAATTCTTTTATATATTATATTTTTCATCTATTTTGAGTATCTTTTGAGCATTTGAACAAGAGTTTGATAAGCATACTATCTGCATTGAAAATTTTTATTACATTTGAATAAAAAAGAAAGACACTTTTAGAAATTTCATGGATATTGCACATTTTTATTGACTAATATTTTAGTTGATGTTATTTTTTGTATTGTCTGCAGCTATAGGATAATAATGGTGTTCTAACTGTTATCTGATAGGTAGAACGACATTTTAACCTTTTTTGCTACGAAAAATGACACTATAGTCGTTATTTAATTTAGTTTGGTTTTTCAATGAAAAGATCTCTAAAAATGGACTATCTAATGTATTAAATATATAAATGTTGATCATGTTACAAAGAACGGTTGAAAACGATATGTCTGATATGTTATCGAGTTGGTGAAAGTACAAGTACAATATATACATAATAATAAATAGACTATTACAGTAATAAATAGGCAATATATCTTTCAAATTTTGTAAGAGGTGTGTCTATCTTGCAACTTAAATAAGTTTAACTTATCGATTATCGAGGGCACGGATAAGTTGTGGTTGTTTATACTCGCGCATATAGACAGAACGACACAAGTGTTGTTTCATTATCAACGACACTTGTGTTGTTCTGTTGAATTTTTCAATATTTTGCTTATTTTCTAACAAAATAACCTGAAACATTGGATCCGACAACTTAAGAAATTTGGAAATGTTGATCACATGACAAAAAACGTTGAATTGACATAGATTATAAGATATCGAGTTTGTGAAATTACTAATCATTGTAATGATTCGTTAGAAAATATAATTAATTAGCACATCTCTCAACTTTTGTAATTGTCATGTCCATCTTACAGCTAAAATAAGTTTAACTTATTGATTCTCAGGGCATAAATGTGTCATGGCTGCATAAACTAGTGTTTATAGACAGAACAACACAAGTGTCGTTTAACGGCTCTTGTGCCGTTCCGTTGATTTTTCTAATTATTTGCTTATTTTCCAACGTAATGACTTCAAATACTGGATCCCCTAGCTTAAGAAAGATAGAAAGGTTGACCACTTTACAAGAATGATTGATTTGACATAGATTATATGATATCGAGGTGGTGAAATCATAAGTCACTGTATTAATTCGTTAGAAAATATAATTAATAAGCACATTTCACAACTTTTGTAAACGTAATGCCCATCTTTCAACTTAAATGAGTTCAATTTATTGGTTCTCGAGGCATGGATGGGTCGTGGCTGCGTATACTTATATTTATAGACAGAATAAAACAAGTGTTGTTTAACGGCTTTTGTGTTGTTCTGTTGATTTCTCAAATATTTTGTTTATTTTCCAACGCAAAGACTTCAAACCTTGGATCCTCTAACTTTAAAAAGTCAGAAATGTTGATCATGTGACAAAAGAACGATTGAATTAACATAGGTTATACGATATCGAGTTGGTGAATTCACAAGTCATTGTATTGATTCGTTAAAAAATATAATTAATGAGCAGATCTCATAACTTTTGTAAACGGAATACCCATCTTTTAACTTAAATGAATTCAATTTATTGGTTCTCGAGGCATGGATGGGTCCTGACTGCGTATACTTGTGTTTATAGACAGAACCACACAAATGTCATTTAACGGTTCTTGTGTTGTTCTGTTGATTTTTCAAATATTTTGCTTGTTTTCTAACACAACGACCTTAAACTTTGGATCCCCTAACCTAAGAAAGTCAGAAAGATTGATCATGTGACAAAAAACGATTGAATTGACATAGGTTATACGATATTGAGTTGGTAAAATCATAAGTCATTGTATTGAATCGTTAGAAAATATAATTAATGAGCACATCTCTCAATTTTTGTAAAGGACATGCCCATCTTTCAACTGAAATTAGTTCAACTTATTGGTTCTTGGGGCATGGATGGGTCGTGGCTGCGTATACTCATGTTTATAGACAGAACAACACAAATGACGTTTAAGGCACTTTTGCCGTTTTGATGATTTCTCTGATATTTTACATCTTTTCCACTGCAACAACCTCAAGTATTGAACCCCCTAACTTAAGAAATTCAGAAATGTTGATCCTGTGACAAAAAACAGTAGAATTCACATAGATTATACGATATAAAGTGGAGAAATTACAAGTCGTTATCTACATTTGTTAGAAAATATAATTAATGAGCACATCTCTCAAACTTTGTACACGACGTGTCCATCTTGCAACTTAAATAAGTTCAAATCATCGATTATCGAGGATCGAACAGGTCGTGAAAGCTCGTACTAGTGTTTAAAGACAAAATGACACAAGTGACTTTTAACGGCACTTGTGACGTTCCTATTATTTTTCCAATATTTTGCATCTTTTCTACTACAATGACCTCAAACATTGGACCCTCTAACTTAAAAAAGTTAAAAATATTGACCATCTGACAAATAACGGTAAAATTCACATAAATTATACAATATAGAGTTGGAGAAATCACAAGTTGTTATCTACATTCATTAGAAAATATAGTTAATGAGCATATTTCTCAATTTTTATAAACGACATATCCATCTTGCAGTTGAAATGAGTTTCGGGGTTATCTATACTCGTGTTTATAGATAGAACAATACAAGTATAGTTTTCTTTAAGTAACAGCACAAGTATCGTTCTCATGAAGAAATTATATTTTGATAACAGCACTTGTGTTGTTCTTTTAGAACTTTTCATCTCAGTAACGATAAAAATGCCGTTCTTAATGACATTTTCATCTTCTAAGCGGCACTTGTTCCGTTCTTTTAGAACTTTTCATTTCAATAATAACACAAGTGTCATTCTCAAGGACCCTTCATCCTAAAAAATGGATCTGTAAAATACGCGAGAAAAATAAATCACGTGACAAAGAACGATTGAAATGATGTAAAATTATTTGATATAAAGTTGTTGAAAGTATAAGTGATTCTATTATTTTCAACAAAATAAAAGTAACGAGCATGTCTCTTAATTTTTTTTAAATGTTATGTTCACCTTGTAACTTAATTGAGTTTAACTTATTATTTCTTGACTCAAGGACGATCGTAGCTGTTTAAACTCGTAATTATTGATAAAATGGCACAAGTGTCATTTTATTATCACTAACGACACTTGAATTGTTCTATTGATTTCTCCTTTATTTTCATTTGTTTCCAAAAGTACGGCATTTAGAATTAAACACCTTAAGTTGTGTTATTCTCACAGTAATAATAGAAGTTTCTAATTTGGTAATTATGTCATTCTCTTAGAACTTTTATTCCAGTAACCGCACTAATACCGTTCTCAAAGACTTTTCATCTCAGCAACGATACAAGTGCCATTTTCATAGACAAATATATTTAGAAGCATAATGATAGTTGTAAAGTTCTTATAGACGTTCTCATTTTAGTAGCGGCACAAGTGTCGTTCTCATGGACAAGTAAATTTACAATCATAACGACAGTTGTACCATTATTGAAAGGCTAGACTGACAATTAATGATCATATTTCTCAACTCATATTTATAGATAGAACACAAAATGGTCGTTTCATTTTAGTAACAACTCTTGTGTCGTTCTATTGATTTCTCCTATATTTTGATTTTATTCTAGCATAATGATTTCAAACATTGGACCCCCTAACTAAGCATAAACATTTTCATGTCAGTAACATACGAGTTCATTATTGAGTGTTGTTTTGTTGAAAAAATCGGATATAGGTGAAACTTTTGTGACAACACTTGATATAAAAACGACACTTGTGCTGTTATGTGCATAAATATACGGTACGTTTGTTACCTAAAAATAATAAGTGAAACATATTTATGTTGTAATATTTACATGACACGTACAAAAGTTGATAGATATGTTCATTAATTTAATCGACACATATGAGTGTAATGCCTTATGCTTTTACCATCTCAATAATATAAAATATGTCATTTCAATCGTTCTTTTTGACTAGTCAATCATTTTATATTATATACGTTAGCGAATCTATTATTAGAGGTCATTTTATTGAAAAAATCAAACTACAGCAGATAACGATTGTAATGTCGTTTTACTTCACAGATAACGGCTGAAGTTGTGTTCTGCATGTCGTATAGTAATTGGAGTGCTATTACATTCAATGGTTGCATATAACACAAAAAACACACTAAATATCAAAACAATACCAACTAAATATTGTTTAATAATAAAAATACAACATAGATGCGATTTCTAAGAGTATCTTTCGTCACTCAAAAAATACCAAAAATAAGTGAAGAAATATAACAAAGAACATAATTTTAGGATAGCAAGAATGATGATTAAAGAGAAGAAAATAGGTTATTGTAATTTTGAAGACCAAAAATTGAAAAACATGAAAATGGGAAGAAGAAGGCGTTATTTAAAAAAAAATAAAAAATTAAGGTTCTAAGGTGAATTTGGATGAAAAATGGCAGGATGAAATGAGAAAAGCTAAAGGAGAATTTTGTTATTTTGCCAACTAAAATATTATACATTTTTCTATTTGTTTTTATTATTAGTCAAAGGTTATTTAACCTATATCATTGTTAAGTTAGGCTATTGGGCCAAATTTCCCTTTGTAGATTTCATATAATTTAAGTCAAATCAAAGCAAATTCACGCGAAAGAGATGGGAAAAGGCTCCCATGCTCATCATGGTAAAAAGAGAAGAAAAAATAATATTCACAGAACACAAAAAAGAGGAAATAATCACCCCTGAAATAAAATTAATATAGCAATAAAAGACTGGACATATTTTTCATTCATTTTTTCTCAAATTCTTTTTCAATCAAACATTTACAAAGTAAAATATTTTGTACGTAAATGCAAAAATTTTCTTACTTTTTAATTACGTCTTCTTTCAAAAATTTCTATTTTAAAACTCATTTTTTCCAAAAAAAAATAAAAATAAATATAAACTCTTTTACGAGATTACCAAACTCATTTATCATGACCTAATCTAATGGTGGAAGCATTGTCAATTGTCTACAAATTTTTAATCCTGATCAACCCTTTACACATTGATTGGTGTAATTGGCTTCTCAATTCTAAATCAAGATAAGTGCTGGTTTGGAAAAACTTAAAATGTTAGGCCAGTTTATTGGAATCACACATTTTTTGAAACGATGATATCTATTAATTTCAAATTTCATCAACTTTTATAAAAAATTTGTTAACAACCACTAAATAAAAGTACTAGTAAACCCAAGAAAATGACATTCTTTTGTTCAAACTCAGTCGCATGGACATCAAAAACTCGTCTCTTTTCTAGCATTGAAAATGGTCAATCTATTATACGGTTGGATCTAGTGACGACATGTTTGGGTATCAAACCCCATCTTACCTTCAAATCTAATTTGAGTATGAATAAAGCCACTTGTACAATGTATTTGCACAACGTAATTGACAACAAGTGTGTTGAAAAAAATCTTGACTATTGATTTTAAAAACAGTTTTTCAAATAAATGGATGTGATGTTGCCAACTCATGCATTGTAACCAAATTGTAAATATATTGTACAAGTAGAGTAATTATTTAAATATATTTGAAATCACTGAACGTAATGTAAGACGGAATTTTAAACTTATAAAATCCTATCCAAATATATTCGATAAATTTAACAAACTAACTTTAAAAATCCATTTACCGAAATTTATAAATGATTAAATTTTATTTTTATCACATTTTAATAAATTCACAAGTAATATCCACCCCATCATTTCTATACATTTATAATTTTTCCCAAATGAAAACATTAATTAATGGGTTGAAACAAAGATTAAGCCCTTGTTTGACGAGAGTTAAAATAAGATTTTTAGTATGTTTTGACAAAAGTTGATGAAATATATAGTTGAAAAGTTGTGGTTCATTAAAATGTGTAATTAAAATTATTTATTGATTTTTAGATAAATTAAAATCTAAATTTTAATTTATACCAACACATGGATTAAACAATGGTAAATAGTACAAAACATCCTTACCTTTCAATATTATTATGCAAAACGTTCTTACCTTTCATTTTTACCCCTATATATACCTTTCATTGTGCACAAAGGTCCATTTCATTCATTTTTCCAATAAAAAGACAAAATTTTACCCCATTCAAATAAAAAAAAAAAATAATAATAATAATAAAGAGTTAAATGCAACTATAACCTCAAGTTTTCAAAAAATTACAAATCAGTCACGAATGTACACTTAAAAAAAAAGGGAAGAAAAACAGCACTGTATTGCAATTATGACTCTTTTTTTTTAAGTATATATTTGTGACTAATTTGTAATTTTTAAATTTTAGGATTATAGTTTGTAATTAGCTCTTTATTTTTCTATTCTATTCTTTTTGTTTTATGTGAATAGGGAGTAAAATCGTTTTTTTATGGAAAAAATGAATAAAAATGACATTTTACATAATGAAATGTCAAAATAGGAGTAAAAATGTCAAAAAAAAATGAAAAGTAGGCATATTTTGTGCTTTTTAACCATTAAATAAGTCCACAAAAGTATCTACCATCTATAGCCCCTATTTGTAACTGTAGAGTGGGGCAAAATTCTTGAATCAAATTGGTCGAATTGGACCTGAACCAAATCAAATCAAATTGGTCGAATTGGACCTAAACCAAATCAAATCAAATCAAGCGATTTTTCTTAAATTAAATACCCGAATGAGTATTTGAATCGAGGACCGATAAGTTCGATTTGGTTCTCGATTCTAGATTAAGGACCAAAAAATAGAATAAGAACCAAAATTTCCAATTTTTTAAATTTATTTGTTTTAAATAAGTCGAATTATTTTTTTTAAATAAATTTGCTAACTAGTTAATTTAGCTCAAATCCAAAAAAAAATAATTTTCTTAGTCCAAGTCCAATTTAATCAAATTGATCTAAATTTTACACAAATCTGTTATATATTCTACCGTAGAGTCGTTTCTACCGTTTTAAAGAAATCGAATTAAAGCTTAATAGCGCTTCTATTAATTATTATGAGCTCGTTATCTTTCTCTTATTGTGAATTTAACAATCAAGTCTATGATGAACTCAACAAAGAGAGATGCAAAAGACACATAAGATTGAACATGTCGTTAGTTGAATTAATGCAGTTTTGTAAATATTAAAAAAATTAAGATAGTGTTTGATTCACCCAATTTCATGGAAATGGGAGGAAAATGACTATTTTTCACAGGAAATGTAGTGTTTGATTCATAAGATTTTCCATAGAATTGGTTTCTAGCTTTTATTGGAAGTTGTGTTATTCCTTGATTTGGTGGAATTCCAATTCTCACCATTTGGAATTCCTGGCTACTGTAGCAATTTTTTTTTTTTTGTTTTTTTTTTTAGGCAATTGAAACCACTTCTAATAATTATTGTAAAAAAAATTCCTCTTTCATTGATAATTTTCATATAAAACAAAGCCAAACGAACACTAAAAAATAGATTATTTTTTTGAATTATTTATTTATTTATTTATTTTGCTTTTTGGCGATGGAAACCAATGTCCTCCCCAATACCAATAAATTCTATCATTTTAATTGACAATTTTCATATAAAACAAAGTCAAATGAATATCAAAAAACACTTTTATTTCAACATTTTTCACGTGAAAAATTATACTAATCAAACACAATAATTTACAATTCTCAGGAAAATAATTTTAGGCAATTCAATTCCCTGAAATTCGTTTTTCACCTAATTCAATTTCATCTTTGCAATCAAATGGGTCCTAATTGTAGTATGAAACCTGAGAATCGAACCGAATCGAATCGAATCGAACTGAATGGAAGCGAACCCGAACGATTTCATAATTAAATTTGGATCTGACTATTCTACTTACTAAATACCGAATTATTTTTTTGTCCGATTCGATTTTCGTTAGAATCGAATCGGATCAAACTACGCCCAACCCTACCTATTCGTTAGAGAGTCTTTCAAACTCAATTTTTTTCCAAATTTATTTTTAATCACAAATTCTTCCAATAAAATAATTTATTTATATATTTTTTGCAAATTCTATTTTCAAAAAAGGGAATTGATGTTTGTACATCCGAGTTGTGAACTCGAATGACAGCCCACTCACATGTGGAAGGCTAGCAATTTTTTAACTAAGCGCGAACCCCTTCACATGTGACGGGACTGTACATGTAACGCAGTACTCGAAAAAATTTACGAGAAACTTCCCCTTACACTTTAACATAAAGAGTAAGGGACAAAGCAGACATGCATGGCCATGGTTGACCATACTCATTAATTATTATCTTGTTAAAGTGTAGTTTAAGAATCTCTACTACTAGGCGCATTCTAGCAACTGGCCTGCTATTCCCCAGTTAAATTAACCACATCTATTATTTCTATACCTCACTTTTATTTTTGTATATAAATTACACATCTTCTCCGCACCTTTGACCCCAGTTGTATCTTTATTCTCAATATTTCACTAATTAGAGTAATATATTCTTACTAACTGCTTAGTTAAATTTCTCTTTTGGATGGGACCTAAGTACATGTATCCTTTCCGATCAATCAATTTTTAAATGTTGGAATAAATCCTAAAGAGATACTGCCTCCTCGTAAATTTATATTGAATTGAGAACTTTTGCCTTAATTTTTATCCAATTTTCCTTAGGGAGTCATCCATTTTTCAATAATTGGGGTATATTGCTGATTGATATTACATACCAATTACCATCATTTAGTTATCAAAAATTCGTTGTCGATAGTGGGTCACATATACACGAGTGCCCCCTTTTTTGTTACTATTTTAGTAGTGAGTTGAATGGAAATTCTGTGCTACCACGGACCGTGCACCAAAATTGAAACGTTGAGATGAATTGAGTAAAAAGTTTAGGAAGGGACCGATTTGCTATAAATGCTAAAAATTGAGGACTAACTACAATTTTCCCTATTTTTTTTTATTTTTCACTGGCGCATCATAAAAAGCATAGATGCCTATCACACGCACTTCTTTCCTGTTTCAGAAGTCTGAACTGAACAAACATAAAACACAGAGGGTTGGCTTCCTTTTAACCACCTTTCTCTCTCTATAAATCTTTCTCTCTCTATATGTATAGATTATAAGGCATCTATAGGTAGCATAGGTCCTGTGACTGCAGTAGTGGGAGAAAAAAACAAATACCCATCTTTTAATGCTGCTGAATGGTTGGGTCTCTTTCATCAATTCTAAAAAGCAAAAGAAATGCAAAATAGTGACTTTTCTAGTTTTTTTTATCAATTTTTTCATTTTATTCTTGTGTTATTGGTATTGATATTGATATTTTGTTTTGTTTGCTTATGCTTAACCTTCCCCACACAGATAATGAGATAATGATGCAGTGTACCGAACCTTCACAAGGCATAGCAGAGAGAGAGAGGCACATAATGAGGCACATAACTTTTATCCTACATTTTGATAATCGATTCCAGTTGGATTTGTGGTGAAACCAACTGGGTTTCTTTAATCCTGTTCCTCCTCATGATTATTTCTCTTTGATAAAGTTTTTATTTTGGTTGCTTCTTTTGTTCTTTAAAAAAAAGAAGAAAAAAATCTCTTGCTCCGGAAGGGCTCTCTGTGAAAACGCAATTTAGTAAAGAAAGGGCCTGTATTTACTGTCCCATTTTGTTGATTCCATCACGGCTTGCCAAATCGATAACTGGGCTGTTGTTTGTTTGGCATGATTGTCCTTCGTGTAGTTGTTCACCATACCAAGCAAGGTTTTTGATGGGATTGTTATGCCGTCAGCGAGAGAATCACTTTATTCACATGCTGTGTGAAAAATTGGAGCTCTGTTTTTCTGCAGAATTTACTGTTCTACTGAATACCGACAAATTTTGATTCCATGTGTAATTCCTGGAGGAGGCTTGCTTCTTGAGGGCTTTTTTTTTTTTTTAATTGAAATTTTGAGCTTTTGTGCTCGAGAACAGGTAATTTAACTTTGTGTCTCTGTTATGGTGGATTTTTGTTGAAATTCTGCTTGATTTTTGAAGAGCGTGTCTAGGTTTACTTTGAAGCTCTGGAATCTGTTTCTCAAGATTCATAAGTGGATTTTAGTCGAGATGTCTTTAAATTGTAAGCATTCTAGTTCAAATGGCAAGTTATCTTCCTCTTTAAAGCGAAAAAAGGCTTGGGTATCATTACACAAAACAGCAGATGGCAGGAAATGGAAGAGGGTAGTAGTCTTCTTATGGCTTGTGGTTGTTCTGTGTTGGTTATTTTGGGTCTTGAATAGCTCGAATGGTGGTTATTCTGAGCAAAAAGTGGAGACTCCAGTTTCAAGTGAATTTAAAGTTCAAGTCTTGCTGGAATATTGCAATACGAGCAAGGAAGAGCTTCATGCTTTAGATTCTTTACTCACCGAAAGAGATCGGGTACGTTGTCATTGCTTCAGTAATCAGAGCATTGGTCTTAATGACTATGGATTCTCTCTACTTTTGCTTTTAATATAACCAGTTCTGAACTATCTGTTTTTGATGATTACTTATTTTTCTTAACCTCTACTATCAAGAAATTGTTGAAACACTGTGTATGGCTAATGTTTAACATTAAATTTTCTCAAGGTGTTTTCCTTTTAATACGGCCAGTAAGGAAGTTTTTTTTTAATGCTCAAACTAGGAACTGTGAATCAGAATGTTCTGAACAAGCTGAACATGTTTGTTTAAATTGAACTTTGATGATTGAAACTTCTGTGAGAAAAAAAAACTTTATTAGCATTCTTCGCATCGTGTAGCAATTTGAACCAAATTATATTAGTAATAAGTGCAATACACTGCAGAGATTTGATATGTAAAACTGGAAACAGTGTCTTCGCCTTTCAGTCTACATATAGGTGATGGGAAACTATTAATTCTGTTTGAGCTCTATGCTATCTTTAAGTAGGGTGATATAAAATAGAAGTGCCACAATGAGTTTATTAAAACTGGAAACAGTGTCTTAGCCTTTCAGTCTACAAATAGGTGATGGGAAACTATTAATTCTGTTTGAGCTCTATGCTATCTTTAAGTAGGGTGATATAAAATAGAAGTGCCACAATGAGTTTATTGATATAATTAACTAATGAGAATGCTACAATGCCAGGATTAGTTTGATAATAAATTAATGATGATGCTACGATGTCACATTAAGTTTATTGATATAATGATAATGCTGATGAGTTCAATAGTAGTTTTCATAATGATATTCTAAGTCTAGTCTTGATGATGGATTGTTTTTTAAACATGGGGATATATTTCTGATGTAGAACACTTAACAAATAGAAATTTTTTTAAGAACTAAAAATATTGCAAAAAGTAAGTGAACTCCCTCACTCATTTTTACTGAAAATAAAAATAAAAATAAAAATATGAGATTGGCGCAATCGTTTCAAAAATATTGCTTTGGCAAATACCAATCTTCAAAACTTCTCTTCTACCATTCTAGTATCATAAAATCTTTCATCTGATAAGGAATCTACGATACCTCAAGTTGATGAAGCAATATAATGATCCTCATAGCCTGACAAGAAAATGAATGAGATGGTTTCAGGATACTGATAAGAGCTATTGTGAAGTAGTTTATTAATCACCTGGCCTTGCATATTCTCTCTTCTGAAATTATTTTATCATTTTGTATATATTAAACTAGATTGTATACAAATTTTTGTCTTTAGCCTTTCGCATCTTATTTCTGCCAAATATTCATTTTCTGTTGTCATGATTGACTCCACTGACAGAAAATCTCTCTATGCCACTTACAACTATTTCTTGCTATACGTTGGATTGCTTGACCACACTGAAGGAAGTTCTTCAATGTGCCACTGCTCCTATGTGTCAGTTCTTTTATTTGGGGAACTTATTCTTGCTATCTCCATCTTGCAGTTTGCTTCTTTGGCATGCTGCAGAGAATCTGGTTATGAAGTGCCTACAAGTTGTAACATCACATGTGGTCTCAAGATCGAAGGTTCAAAGAACCAGATGGAGAACTGGCATAAGTTGGTAGATGAAAATGTAGAATTCAATGCCCATTGCCCAACTATAGATGAGAGCATTTCAACATATGTCGGCCTACCATTTATAAAAGACAAGACTGTGTCAGTCATTGCGCAGTTGGGGTTTTTATCAATCTCATCTAATCATATCTTTTGCAAAAAGGTGGGATCTTTTCCAATAATCAATTAATCTTAGTCTATAGATGTATATGGCATTTGTAAGGATCATCTTTTCCTAGTTGGCCAATTGAGAAAATGTTTAACAAGACAACTAGATATTTCCTTTTTTGCTGCATGCTATGAATAATGCCCATTCAGCAACTGACTGCTAGAATTCTTAAATTAATTTCAATTGCTTGGATATAATGATGGGAGGAGCTTTTTCTTCATGTATCAATCCCTTTGGAAAAACTTCATCTTCTCAACTAGGTTCAAATGATTTAACAACCCAAATGTTGATCGGATTGTTCTTTGTTCGTCATATTATCAATGTTAATCATCTACTACTAAAACTTCTGAGCTAGATAGTGCATGTGGGGGCGGATTCTTATCATACGCAATCTATTCCCCCTCTAACTGCATTTACTTACTCGATTTATTTAATGAGCTGAGTAATTGTTTTCAAAATAATTTGAAAAGGATATAGAAAATTTACTTGGATCCTGGCTTTGTCTTCCTTCAGAATGAATTGCAAATGACAGAACTTCATAATCATGCCACTTTTTGTCTCGCAAAATTATGCTTGTGGATCCTTGTTGGAGTTGTTGTAAGCTTCAACATACCTAAATTACACGAAAAGTTTTCGAGTCAAAAGCATGAAATGATCTGGGAAACACAATGTGCTCAGCAAACTCAGCTGCTACAGCAGGCTCAAAGTTTCTCCAGAAGTACTGGGAAGTGGAGGAAAATCTTTTTGGTTGTTTTTGTCTTTGCCGGTGTTTTTTTTTCCATATGGTTATATCAGTACTTGAGTGAAGATATATTCTTGAGAAGGAAAGAAATGCTGGATAGTATGTGTGACGAACGTGCTCGGATGCTCCAGGACCAATTTAATGTAAGCATGAACCATGTTCATGCATTGGCCCTTCTTGTTTCCACATTTCACCACGGAAAGCAGCCTTCAGCTATAGATCAGGTAACAGTGCAATATTTTAATCACCTTTTACCTTTCTTTTATACCATGATCCTTGAGTCTACACTTGCCAAAAAATGGAAGTAAAAACCAGTTCAAATAAAACTTGCATGCACTAAGTTGATTGATCTATGAACTTATTGTTGTCATAAGGTAAGCCTGGCCAATCTTTTGGATTCTGCAGAAAACTTTTGAAGACTATACTGAGAGAACAGCTTTTGAGAGACCACTCACTAGTGGTGTTGCTTATGCTTTAAGAGTTCGTCACTCGGAGAGGGAGGAATTTGAGCAGCAGCAGGGATGGGCAATTAAGAAAATGGAAACCGAGGATCAAACTTTAGCTCAAGATTGTAGCCTAGAGAACTTTAGCACTTCACCAGTCCAAGAAGAATATGCACCTGTCATTTTCTCCCAGAAAACTGTATCTCATATTGTTTCTATTGATATGATGTCTGGAAAGGTTTGCTACATGCTCTATATCTTTCTTTTACCTATAGTTAACTTCTGATTACTAGTTTACAGAGTTCATGTTCTCCTTTAAATGTGTTAGCACCATGACTAATACAAGTACTAGCCTTTAACATGAGGCTGCAAGGAAGTGAAATAAATAATTCTTAAAGAAATGTTTATTCATATTCTTCTGTGCATCTGTTAGTGATTTTGACTAGTGCAAGCAAATAAAAATAAAAAAATAAAAAATAAAAATTAGAGAGAGAGAGAGAGAAACGACATTTAGCCTGACTCTGCGAGGGTACAGAATTAATTATACTTACTTAAAGGAAATTTGATGCATCTTAAGATAAGAGGTTTCACCTGAATTCTAGGAGAATAATTGTGCGTGTTAAGCTTAAATTTTTACGGGTAAATTATAACTTAATTGTTGTCAGCAAACCCTGAAGCTGGTTCCAGTACAATGGTGAAGTTTTATGCTTAGCTAGTGCATGGTAGACCTTAGAATTGTGATACATTTTTTAAAGTGGTTTATGTGGAATTACATGGAACCTTATGTGGTAATCTACAAGTGAAATTGGATTATGTGTTTTAGTCCAGCACGATTTCTATCTAAAACTTGTTCATATTCATTTTAAGTCTTATAATTGTTCTCACTTAGGATGACCGAGAGAACATCTTGCGAGCTAGAGCTTCTGGAAAGGGAGTACTAACATCTCCTTTCAAGCTATTGAAATCCAATCATCTGGGTGTTGTACTTACTTTTGCTGTATACAACACTCATCTTCCTCCTGATGCTATGCCTGAGCAACGCATCAATGCTACTGTGGGGTAAAGAAATACTCAGTTTTTGTTATAATATGGAGTGAATTATAGTTCTTCATTATTTTCTTTGTATGTGATGCTTCTGGAATGTTCATTTTTCTTTTGTTTCTGTGATGTTTGCTGCTTCATAAAAGGTATCTAGGTGCTTCTTATGATGTTCCATCACTAGTTGCAAAGCTTCTACATCAGCTTGCTAGCAAACAGACTATTGTTGTAAATGTTTATGATACAACTAACAAGTTGGCACCAATTAAGATGTATGGAACTGATGCGGTCGACACAGGGTTACTGCATATTAGTAACCTTGATTTTGGAGATCCAACTAGGAAGCATGAGATGCATTGCAGGTTAGACATTTGTTGTGTTTGAAGTTTACATAGATGCAAACTGAGAAATCTAACATTTATCTAAGTTTATTTTAGCAAATCACGTGCTTCCGAATAAATTTAATTTTTGTTTTGGTCACAGGTTCAAACAGAAACCTCCTCCACCCTGGCAAGCGATAACAGCATCTACTGGAGTACTGGTTATCACTTTACTTCTTGGTCATATCTTCCATGCTGCCAACAATCGTATAGCCAAAGGGGAACGTGGCTATCGAGAGATGATGACGCTCAAACACCGTGCAGAGATTGCTGATGTAGCAAAATCTCAGGTTCATTTTCGATCACATGCACGATGCATTTAAATTTACATGTCATGAAACTGAAAGTTCTCGATTGAATCGCTTTTATTGAGTTATTCAGACGGTGTTGATCATTTATTGTCTTCGTTTGATCTTTGGTGCTTTTACCATCTTTCTTAACATATTATTTTCTTTCTGTAGTTCCTGGCGACAGTTTCACATGAAATCAGGACTCCAATGAATGGAGTTTTAGGTAATATTGGAATTTTAATATCCATGCGCTTGCCACAATGGGGACCTGCAGGTGGGGGAGGTTTTGTATTTTCTGCTACTGTCATCAAAGTAACCAAAAATTACAATGCAATACAGGTATGCTACAAATGCTTATGGATACGACTCTGAATGCCAGCCAACTAGACTATGCACAGACTGCTCATGCTTGCGGAAAAGATCTAATATCGTTAATCAACAAGGTTTTGGATCAGGCCAAGATTGAATCAGGCAGGCTTGAGTTAGAGGCAGTCCCTTTTGATCTGCGAACTGTTCTTGACAAGGTCCTCTCACATTTTTCCATGAAATCTCAGGAACAGGGATTAGAGGTAGAAAGCCAAATTCCTTTCACCTCTCCTCTTGTTCATGCTTTCTGCTGCCGTCTTCATAATTATGACTGTACTGACATTATTTCTTGTTTTGTTTTGTTTTATTTTTTTATTTTTTTCCATTTGGGGGAGAGAAGTTGGCTGTTTATGTATCTGATCAGGTGCCAGAAGTGGTCGTTGGAGATCAGGAACGGTTCGGGCAGATAATTACTAATCTTGTCGGGAATTCTATTAAGGTTGGTCTAGAACCTGCACTTTGTTTATTTGGTATATTCCCCAAATACTTGGCTTTGTAAGAAATTGATGGGCCCAAGAGGTGTGTACCCATGTGTCACTGCTTGCAATTTCATGTTATTAAAGAGGTAACCTCTCTCTCTTGAGTGCCTAGTCGAACCCTAGAATTACATATAAATCCAGATGCAGCTTCGTCGTCTTATTTCAAAACCCTCAATATCGACTCCAAAGAAAATAAGTGAGAGAGAAAAGTCTTTGGATGTAAATAGGTCCTCGACAATGGTATGGAACATCTGGTTGTGCTTCCCATAAAACTATTTGTGTTTACAATGAAATGTTTTACTTGTTTGTAGTAGAGGTTATAATCCTTCATTCTGGTTTCTAATAAGAGATGGGCCAAATTTAACTAATTGCTTTCAGCTCAGTGGGATCACTTGCTTCCCTGAAATCTTTCTTCTATCTCAACTCCTTCATAATCAGAATAATTATTGCTACCTCCACACCATGTAAAATTTTTTGTCATGTTAATTTAGTTTCACTTTGCAGCTAAGTTCTTATAATCTTAAAAAACTCAATAAAAATAGTAAGAATGAAAAAAATGACAAAAATGGGTATCACACATCAGTATGGTGCTAAAAATTCTGTAAGTATGTAAAAGAAGTTGAGAAAATAATTGTTTTTGATTGATAATTGAATTAGACAATGATCCTCTTTAAATAGAGGAGAATTACAATAATTAGAGGAAATTTAGTCCCTACAAATCAGCAACTAATCCCATAGAATAAGGGATTTGTATTTAACATAAATAAAACCTGATTCTACTCCTAAAATACCACAATCAAATCAGTAATTTATAAACAGCTAATATACAACATATTTCAACACTCCCCCTCAAGCTGGTGAATAAATGTTAATCATTCCCAACTTGATTGTGAAATCTTCAAAACTTGGTCTTGATAATCCTTTAGTAAGGATATCAACTACTTGTTGAGATGTCGGGACATAGATCATGCAAATGACTCCCCTTTCAATCTTCTCTTCGATGAAGTGTCTATCAACTTCTACATGCTTTGTACGATCATGATGAACTGGATTATGTGCAATACTTATTGCAGCTTGGTTGTCACAGTAGAGCTTCATAGGAACAAAATCTGACAATTTTAACTCTCCTAGAAGCCGATTGATCCATATTAGCTCACATGTTCCTTGGGCTAATGCATGGAATTCAGCCTTAACACTGCTCCGAGCTACTACGTTTTGTTTCTTACTCCTCCAGGTTACCAAATTTCCCCAAACCATAGTGCAATAACCAGATGTTGATCTGCGATCTTCAACCGAACCTGCCCAGTCTCCATCTGTAAAAGCTTCAACACTACGTGGTTTATTTTTCCCAAAAAATAAACCTTTCCCAGGTGTCATCTTCAAGTACCTCAAGATCCTGTAAACTGCTTCAAGATGAACTTCAGATGGAGAGTGCATGAATTGACTAACAACACTTACAGCAAATGCAATATCAGGTCTAGTATGTGAGAGGTAGATTAGTTTCCCCACTAATCTTTGATACCGACCTCGATCAACTGATTCTCCGACATCTTCAATTTTTTTTCTTCCCATTTACTTTAATGGGTGTCTCTGCAGGCTTGCTTCCCAACATTCCTATATCTTTGAGAAGATCTAATGTATATGTTCGTTGAGATATGGAAATTTTGCTTCCCAACATTCCTATATCTTTGAGAAGATCTAATGTATATGTTCGTTGAGATATGGAAATTCCTTGCTTAGTTCGGGCCACCTCCATGCCTAGAAAATATCTCATTTGTCCTAGGCTTTTTACTTCAAATTCCTTTGCTAGAAACTTCTTCAATCTCTCTTGTTCTGCATAATCATCTCCAGCTTGCTTCCCAACATTCCTATATCTTTGAGAAGATCTAATGTATATGTTCGTTGAGATATGGAAATTTTGCTTCCCAACATTTCTATATCTTTGAGAAGATCTAATGTATATGTTCGTTGAGATATGGAAATTCCTCGCTTAGTTCGGGCCACCTCCATGCCTAGAAAATATCTCATTTGTCCTAGGTTTTTTACTTCAAATTCCTTTGCTAGAAACTTCTTCAATCTCTCTTGTTCTGCATAATCATCTCTTGTTAGAATGATGTCATCAACATAGACTATTAAAATAGTGACCTTTCCATCCGAGGTATGTTTGTAGAAGAGAGTGTGATCCGCTTGTCCTTGAGTGTATCTATTACTTTTAATCGACATTGTGAATCGTTCAAACCAGGCTCTTGGTGACTGCTTCAGACCATAAAGGGACTTTTTCAACCTACATGTTTTGTTTCCTCCATAACCTTCTTCAAAGCCTGGTGCTAGGTCCATGAATACCTCTTCCTCTAAGACTCCATTAAGGAATGCATTTTTTACATCCATCTGATGAAGAGGCCAGTCAAGATTACTTGCAAGAGATAGAAGAATTCTGATGGAGTTGAGCTTTGCCACTGGTGTAAAAGTTTCTGTATAGTCTACTCTATGAGTTTGAGTAAAATCTTTTGCAACCAATCTTGCCTTATGTCTTTCAACTGTCCCATCTGAATTGTATTTTATGGTAAAGACCCACTTACAGCCCACTGGACTCTTCTCTTTTGGTAGTTCTACCACTTCCCAAATTTCATTTTTTTTGTAAGGCCTGCATTTCTTCAAGGACAGCTTTTTTCCACTCGGGTACTTGGAGAGCTTCATGAATATCTCTTGGCAACTTGATAGCTGATATTTTTTCTGTGAGGGCTCGAAAACTCGAGGACAGATGACCATAAGATATAAATTTTGCTAAAGGATGTTGAGTGCATGTTCTAGTACCTTTCCAAAGAGCAATAGGCGAGTCCAAGTCATGTGTCTCTACATCAAATGACTGAGTGTTTACCTCTGGTTCAGATTCTTGATAGTGATCTTGGGGTGCAATGGCCTGTACATTATGAGGTATAGTTGCTCTTCGAGTGTAAACACGCAACTCATATTTCTTTTGCTCAAGTGAATCTCTCCTTATTTCCAAATTATTAGGTTGAGGTCTAATAGGACTAGGTACAGATTGAATGGGAAGTGGTTGATTGGATTCGGCAGAATCGACAGGCTGGATAGGTATAGGAAGTATCAAATTTGGCTCCGTGAAACTTGACTTAGTGAACTCGGTGGATTGTAAATTAGAAGGCAGTGAAGTTGTCATATCCCAAAGTTGCTCTTTATTCGTATTCTCCCCTGAAGGGCAGGTTTGGGATAGTAGGATTGGTCCTCAAAGAATGTTACATCAAAAGACACATATTTTTTTTTTTTTTTTTGAGGATTATAACACTTGTACCCCTTTTGGGTTGGAGAGTAGCCAATAAAAATATACTTAGTGGCCCTGGGATTGAGTTTGTTGTTGGTGGGGCTTGTGTTATGCACAAATGTTGAACACCCAAAAGTGCATAGATGAAGAGAAGTGAGGAAACGTGTGTGGGGATAAGTTTTTCGGAGAATTTGGATAGGAGTTTGGTAGTTAAGGACACGGGAAGGGAGCCGATTTGTCAAGTATGAAGCTGTGAGAACTGCTTCACCCCAAAATTGTTTGGGAACAGAATTAGTAAACATAATGGCTCGAGATATTTCTAAGAGGTGACGATTTTTTCTTTCGGCGATACCATTTTGTTGGGGTGTATTAACGCAAGAGCTTTGGTGAATTATGCCTTTGGTTATGAGATATGGACTTAATGTGGAGTTAAAGTACTTACGACCATTGTCAGTACGAAGGATTTTTATTTTGGTTTGAAATTGGGTTTCAACCATGGCATTTAACTTTCGAAAAACAGTGGTAACATCTGATTTTTCTTTTAAAAGGAATACCCAACACACACGTGTATGATCATCAATAAAAGTGATAAACCATCGGGACCCAGAAATGTTTGTTATCCGTGATGGACCCCAGATGTCGCTATGGATTAATGAAAAAGGTTTAGAATTTTTATATGGTTGGATGGGATAAGAGACACGAGTATGCTTAGCATATTGACAAGTTTCACATGAAAAATCGTCTACATTTTTATTAATAAATAAGGAAGGGAACAATTTCTTTAAATAATGGAAACTAGGATGTCCTAGTCTATTATTCCACAACATAATTTTATTGGAAGCAGAAAATAATTCACTAGCCAAAGCTTGAGTTTGTTTGCACGCTACTTCTGGTTATCCTCAAAGATGTACAGCCCATCATACTCCTTAGCACTGCCAATCATCCTCACCAAAGGTAAAATCCTGAAACTTACAGCCATAAGATGAAAACTGAGCAATACAATTTGAGTCTTTAGTCAATTTGCTAATTGAAAGAAGGTTGCAGGTAATGTTTGGGACATGGAGGACAGAGTGGAGGATTATTTCTTTGGATATTTGAATGGTTCCAGTTCCAACAATTGGTGATAGGGATCCATCGGCAATTTTTATTTTTTGATTGCTGTAGCATGGCTTATAAGCAGAAAATAATGTATGTTGGCTTGTCCTATGGTCTGAAGCTCCTGAATCGATGATCCAAGAACTTTGGTTGGTTGAAATTGTAGATAAAGCATAACAAATATTACCTTTCTGAGCTACAGAGGCAGTGGGATTTGATGGGCTGGAGTTTGTTGCATTGTGTGCAAGAATAGCTTGCAACTGCTCAAGTTGTTCTTTGCTGAAACCAAGGTTTTGTCCAGCACCTGCAATATTCTTATCCTCCTCAAAAGTGGCTAAGAAACCGCGGCCTACTCCTGGCTTTTTATGTGTCCAGCTTTTTCCTGATGGCTTCCAATTTGGTGGTTTATCATGTATCTCCCAACATGTCTCCCGAGTGTGCCCATGAAGTTGACAATGATCACACCGTGGCCTCTCCCCCCTTTTTTGTCTCGGGAAGGTCCATTGTTGTTCAGAAAATTATTTTTTCTGCTTGTAAATAATGCTGATTCAGCATTGGACAGATCCGTTGTGGTGATTGCTTTGGGTCTTCCCATCATTACCCTTTTTCTACCCTCCTTACGTCTAACTTCTGCAAAGGCTTCTTTGACATCAGGTAATGGCTTTGATCCGAGGATTCTACTCCTCACTTCATCCAAATCTTTGTTGAGGCCATATAAAAAATCAAACAACCTCTCTTTGTTTAACATTTGCTTGAATTTCACACTATCTTCACTGCATTTCCAACTATAATCCTGAAACAGATCTAAATCTTGCCATAAAATCAATAGATCATTATAATATTTAGTAACAGAATTATCACCCTTTTTTTTCTCTAATGGCAGATTTGAGTTCGAAGATTTGTGCTAAATTTCCAAGGTCAGAATATGTTTCAGCCACTGCGTCCCATATTTCCTTTGCCGTTTTGTAGTAGAGATAGGTTCAACCGATCGTGGGTTCCATAGAATTGATGAGCCATGCCTTCACCATTGAGTTTGTAGACCTCCATTTCTTGTAATTGGCTGTGTTTTCTTCTGGAGCCTTTGCTTCACCTGTGATGTGATCGAGTCTTCCCTTTCCATCAATAACCAGCATGGCAGATTGGGACCACTCCACGAAATTAGCTCCATTTAATTTCATTGGAGTAATCTGCAGAGAGTGAGAATCGGTTGGGCTATAATGAGTCGCCTGAGCCATCGAGTTTGCCGTGTTGGAGAGACTATCGGAAGCTCCTGCTGGCGCACCACTGCTCATGGCCGGAGTAACCATTAAAGCTGGTTGAGAAGAACCAGCTCTGATACCATAAAAGAAGTTGATAAAATAATTGTTTTTGATTGATAATTGAATTAGACAATGATCCTCTTTAAATAGAGGAGAATTACAATAATTAGAGGAAATTTAGTCCCTACAAATCAGCAACTAATCCCATAGAATAAGGGATTTTGTATTTAACATAAATAAAACCTGATTCTACTCCTAAAATACCTCAATCAAATCAGTAATTTATGAACAGCTAATATACAACATATTTCAACAGTATGTAAGCTTTAATTTCTACTGTACAAAGTTACGCCCTTTCTGTAGTTGTGCTTATAGTTCCCCTTTGGTACATAATGAAGGTGATTTCTATTCTTAGTCTTCTTACTTTTGCAACAGTAGGTCTCCAGGCAAAGAAAATGCCCCCCAAATAGCACGTGTTCACTTTTTTTTGTCAATGGACAACCAGTGCCCTGTGAATGGTTGTCCGTGTATGTAGGTGGGCATGCACATTCTCTAGGGATGTTTATGCTTATCTGTTGTTTATGTGCATTAATCCAAGAGGGCATTGTATATATGCACGTGACTACTTGTACTACATAAAAGGGCATAATTTGTCATATGGTGGGCATGCCTTCGACACCGAGCCTATAGAACAGATTGTGTTCAAGTAAGGTTGTGACCATGAACAACTGGTGCGCTGTGAATGGTTGTCTGTATGTGTGGGTGTGCGTGCACGCATGTGTACTTGCACATTTTCTAGGTTGGTTTAATACATCTCTGTTGTTTCTGTGCATTTATTAAAGAGGGCTTTGTATGTAGACACATTACTAATCGTACAACATAACAGGGGCATAAAATTGTCATATAGTGGCCATGCTCTTTACACTTTTATGTGGTTTCAGATGTTGGGAAATTAATCATCTTCTGTTTATAATGCAGTTCACACAAGACAAGGGGCACATATTTGTCTCTGTGCATTTAGCAAATGAAATTATGCTTCCACTTGACGTGAACGATGAAGTTCTAAGACAAAGCTTAACCTTTGTTCAAGTTGGATCAAATGCTTCTTGTAACACATTGAGTGGGTTTCGGGTAGTTGATAGATGGAGAAGTTGGGAAAACTTTAAAAAGTTCAGCAGGATACAAGAGGAAACTGAAAAAATAAAATTGTTAGTGACTGTTGAAGATACTGGTGCGGGAATTCCTCTGAAAGCACAAGACAGGATTTTTACTCCTTTTACGCAGGCTGACAGTTCAACATCACGGAAATATGGTGGAACGGGAATAGGACTGAGCATCAGCAAGCGTTTAGTGGAGCTTATGGGTGGAGAAATTGGCTTCGTGAGTGAACTTAATATTGGCAGTACCTTCTCGTTTACTGTGAACTTCACAAAAGCAGAAGCGAATTGTTTGGGTACAATGCAGCAGCAATATGATCCTGCTGTTCCAGAATTGCGAGGACTAAAAGCATTGGTCATTGATGAAAGAAGAGTCAGAGCAGAGGTCACAAGATACCATCTTCAGAGACTGGGAATATCTGTCGATATAACTTCAAGCATGAAATCTGTTTACTCTCATCTTTCCTTCTATACCAAGACAAGGTAAACTCATTTCCATAACATGCCATGTAGGATGCACAAAAACAACAAACTACTTCTTGTTCTTAATAAAGTCTTGTAGGACATATACATGTGTAACTGTTGCCTTGTGGGTTATATGTCTTGCCCTATTGAATTTATTTGCATAAATTCATAAATTCAGAAGATTTTCAATTACATCCTTTTAATCAAGAAGGAAATTACGAAGTTGATGATATGATTATCATTTTTTATATATGAAATATGGAAATTAATGTAACTCGCTTTTCCCTGCAAATGACTAGAATTTTACAGAGCCTTAGCAGGCAGAGGTTCCATAGTTGTGTTTAAGTAGATATTATTGTCTCTGCTACCCTAATTATGTTCAACTTGTCGTAATGATGAGGCTGCACTTCGGTAAGATGTGTGCCATCATTCTTGCAAAATCCAGAAAGAAAAGCATAACTTTATGACTCGCTTAGATTGTTGAAGAGTTGGCACCATGGTATTGTGCTTCGACCTTGTTTTTGCTAATGGCTTTTAGTTATTCTTTCTACAGTTTGTCAGAGCATTTAGCTATGGTTCTTGTTGAACAAGACTGTTGGGATAAAGATATTTATTTTCCGGTCCATAACCTGCTAAAGACGATCAAACAAAATGGCTCCAAAAGTAACTCTGGGATCCCTCTGAAAGTATTCTTATTATCAACCCGCATAAGCTCTAGACAATGGAAAGAGATGAAGTTGGACAGGTTAGTGGATAACGTGATAACAAAGCCTCTATGGTTAAGTGCATTGGCATTCACCTTCCAAGAAGCTACTAAATTTGGAAAGACAAGGCATAATACAAGTGCTAAACCATCAACGATAAGAACTCTACTCAAAGACAAACAAATTCTGGTGGTGGATGATAATGCTGTGAACAGAAGAGTGGCAGAAGGTGCTTTCAGAAAGTATGGAGCAGTTGTTACCTGTGTGGAGGGGGGAAGGCTAGCTGTTGGGTTGCTTAAGCCTCCCCACAAGTTTGATGCTTGTTTTATGGATCTCCAAATGCCTGGAATGGATGGGTAATAAGCTATCCTACATCTTAGCCATCATGTTCTTAATAATTCATAATTTAAATACTGTGCAATATACTCATGAACCAAAGGATGATTTTGAAACTGAAAATTGTAGATAGTCGTACATCTTGTATGGGTCTTGAGTTTAGAACCCTGGCATGAGTTAATATTGTGAAGCACTTAAACTATAGGTGCCAAAATTGAAGAAATGTCTTTAAACAGTGCTTTTTTATCGACTAGACTGTGCTTCATTTGTTTCAGCTGAAACCAGTTTTGAATTTGATCTTGGGTATAGGATGATTGTGCTTTTGAATCTGTATGCTCCTACTACTTTCCTGACCAACCTGGTTGAGAATTGTTCCTATTGGTTTCATCTTTTTAGGAAAAAATGGTAACATTTAATATTATTGATCTTTGTCTTGCAGGTTCGAAGCTACTCGACAGATCCGTAGTCTTGAGTGTGAATATAATGAAAAAATTGATTCTGGTGAAGTATCAGCTGATATGTCTGAAAATTTGGCTCATTGGCACACACCTATATTAGCCATGACAGCAGATGTGATTCAAGCATCAAATGAAGAATTCATGAATTGTGGAATGGATGATTATGTATCTAAACCATTTGATGAAGGGCAGGTTTATTCTGCTGTTGCACGCTTCTTCGGGACTGTGATTTAGATTTGCAGATTTGGCTTATGATGGAACGCCTAGGTTTCATGTTAATTGCTGACCTATTAAGGGCCTAGGCAGTTGAGGCATCTGGCTGCCACTGGTGACTTCCCTCTCTACTAGCCGACTCTGCCATGGCTCATCAGAATCGAATCCTTGCTCATTTCACGTGGTAATTTTCGACTCTTTCTTTGAGGCTTTGAAATTTCTTGTGCATCAAGCATTCTCAAGTGTTTTTTCTCTCTCTGTTTGAACTTCCAGTGCACATTGTCTAACAACATTCTGATGGTAGGGGTTTCTTTTCTTTTTTCTTTTTAAGTTAAAACCATACGAGGTGGCATATTTTGTTAATAACTTAAGTAAAAGAGTAAAAACTTAGGAGGGGGCTAGGCTAACCTCTAGATAAGAGATAAAAAGTATGACTTACCCCTGATTAAAGACTACAAGAAGACAAAGACAAAGCAAAAATGATATCTTGTTTGACTTCATCCCACCCTGGGATTTCACGTGTCTCGTAATATACTTGTAAGAGTCTTCATCTGAATCAAGTTGAGTTTTAACTACTTGATAAACAACTCAAAAAACATTTAGGTCATGGTTTCTCTATTTTGTTTCCGCGAAAAATTAGCAAATTTGTAACAAAATATGATATGTGATATTGATGTTAATCGAATATATCATCATTTCTTTCATTCAACTAGCTTTAAAATAATAAATGTAGAACTGGTTTCTAAAATTTATGACCATCTTTCCCTATATATCATTTCATTGATTAGCCTTCATGTACTTGGTGAGGGTAAGGACTTTAAGATTGAATAGCTCAATAGGAAATTATATGCTTGCCACATGGGTAATTAGAATTCTCTCCTTCCAAAATGAAAAACTGTGTTCTGTGCTTTGAAATATTACATGTAATACTCCAGTCAATGAAGTCATCTTCTGTAGTCACATACTCGTATATTTTGAACATGGTTATGGATGCAGTGATCGTTATTATTTATAATATTTCCAGGTTGACTACCATGACAGATTAACATAATGCATGGGGCACTATAGGAGTGCAGTGAGGGATAGTATGATCAAGTCCACAGAAATAAAACAGGAGGAATATCTGCCGACTTCATATGGTCTATCCCAGTTTTCGTGTTATATTTATTGTACAGCGCTACTTTGTGGAAGAAGCACGTAAAACATAAAATACAATTATCAGAGCATATACTAGTAATTAGCTTTCATCTTCTTGAGGTTAGGTTGGCAATTGTATCGATTAGAAAATTGTTCTTTAGCATCATATAGTGTCGAAGTTGTAAAATGTAGTTATAGTGACAGAAATAATACTGAGATTCATGCTCATATTAGTAAGGCCTCGTACAATCTATGGCATCAGGTCATTATAAGATGTTTTGAAATTTTGTTCTTTTCAGTAATTATTTGCAGCTGAGGTTGTGTGAACAAAATATGATATGTGATATTGATGTTAATCGAATATATCATCATTTCTTTCATTCAACTAGCTTTAAAATAATAAATGTAGAACTGGTTTCTAAAATTTATGACCATCTTTCCCTATATATCATTTCATTGATTAGCCTTCATGTACTTGGTGAGGGTAAGGACTTTAAGATTGAATAGCTCAATAGGAAATTATATGCTTGCCACATGGGTAATTAGAATTCTCTCCTTCCAAAATGAAAAACTGTGTCCTGTGCTTTGAAATATTACATGTAATACTCCAGTCAATGAAGTCATCTTCTGTAGTCACATACTCGTATATTTTGAACATGGTTATGGATGCAGTGATCGTTATTATTTATAATATTTCCAGGTTGACTACCATGACAGATTAACATAATGCATGGGGCACTATAGGAGTGCAGTGAGGGATAGTATGATCAAGTCCACAGAAATAAAACAGGAGGAATATCTGCCGACTTCATATGGTCTATCCCAGTTTTCGTGTTATATTTATTGTACAGCGCTACTTTGTGGAAGAAGCACGTAAAACATAAAATACAATTATCAGAGCATATACTAGTAATTAGCTTTCATCTTCTTGAGGTTAGGTTGGCAATTGTATCGATTAGAAAATTGTTCTTTAGCATCATATAGTGTCGAAGTTGTAAAATGTAGTTATAGTGACAGAAATAATACTGAGATTCATGCTCATATTAGTAAGGCCTCGTACAATCTATGGCATCAGGTCATTATAAGATGTTTTGAAATTTTGTTCTTTTCAGTAATTATTTGCAGCTGAGGTTGTGTGTACAGATTTATATCCTATTTTAGGTGGAAATTTAATTGAGATTCTTGGTTCTTTAACTATGTAACATTAACAGATAAAACTTCATTTTGGCCCTGTTTGAGCCGCATTCTGGAAAAAAAAGAAAAAAAAAAGCATTCTTAAATAGTGATTTAACATCATTTTAATCATACATTCTTCAATAAAATAATATTACGTTAATCCAGTTTTTTTTCCCATTCTTTAACCATACATTCTTTATCAATCAACTATTTCAAAATTTATTCTTTCAAAAGGGTAATTGGCGCAAAACGTTCCTATCTTTCACCTTCATTGTGGAAAACGTCTCCATCTTTTATTTTTTTGGCATTTTTGCCCTCAGTGATCGTTATTATTTATAATATTTCCAGGTTGACTACCATGACAGATTAACATAATGCATGGGGCACTATAGGAGTGCAGTGAGGGATAGTATGATCAAGTCCACAGAAATAAAACAGGAGGAATATCTGCCGACTTCATATGGTCTATCCCAGTTTTCGTGTTATATTTATTGTACAGCGCTACTTTGTGGAAGAAGCACGTAAAACATAAAATACAATTATCAGAGCATATACTAGTAATTAGCTTTCATCTTCTTGAGGTTAGGTTGGCAATTGTATCGATTAGAAAATTGTTCTTTAGCATCATATAGTGTCGAAGTTGTAAAATGTAGTTATAGTGACAGAAATAATACTGATTCATGCTCATATTAGTAAGGCCTCGTACAATCTATGGCATCAGGTCATTATAAGATGTTTTGAAATTTTGTTCTTTTCAGTAATTATTTGCAGCTGAGGTTGTGTATACAGATTTATATCCTATTTTAGGTGGAAATTTAATTGAGATTCTTGGTTCTTTAACTATGTAACATTAACAGATAAAACTTCATTTTGGCCCTGTTTGAGCCGCATTCTGGAAAAAAAAGAAAAAAAAAAGCATTCTTAAATAGTAATTTAACATCATTTTAATCACACATTCTTCAATAAAATAATATTACGTTAATCCAATTTTTTTTCCCATTCTTTAACCATACATTCTTCATCAATCAACTATTTCAAAATTTATTCTTTCAAAAGGGTAATTGGCGCAAAACGTTCCTATCTTTCACCTTCATTGTGGAAAACGTCCCCATCTTTTATTTTTTTGGCATTTTTGCCCTTTACGTTCAACATTTAGAACCGGTAGTTGAGTTCGTGGACTCAAGCTCATCAAGAGATTGGAAAGTGCTCTCAAGATTTTTTTTTTTGGGTAAAATGATTTGTGAATAAACAACTGTTGTTTATACAAAATAAAGCAAAGCATTTTGGGGATGGATGGGATCTTGTTTATATGAAAATACGGCATTGATATTGTTGGACGTCTTCCACATGTTTTTAATCATCCTTTTTTATTTTTAGATTTTCTTCGACCTTATTGAGTTACTTTGTATACTTACAGGGTTTCCAATCTTTTTGGTCTAAATCCCAACAAACAATTCATCTGTAGGTTTCTTTTTTGGAAGTTTTTCTATGAAATGGCAGCCAGAAGCTTCATGAAACTCATCCAATAAACTGAAGAATTTTGCTACTGCTCAAAATAACAAAGGTTGAAGTCATCTTTTTCTTAATTACGATTTTACCCCTGTTGACTGTAAAGAAATTGACATCTTTTTCTTAATTAACGGAGGAAATGACGGATGTTGGACGGAAGGACGTTCATCGTAATGAAAGGTTGAAATGAGGAAAAAATGCCAAAAAGTGAAAGGTGAGGACGTTTTCCACAATGAAGCTGAAAGGTAGAGACGTTTTGCGCTAATTACCCCTTTCAAAATGTGGCTCAAACACGTACATATCGTAAAAAATATACAATAAATACTATAGCAATTAATAGTAACAACTTGCAAAGTAATAAGATAAAATTGTAATCATATATAACCACAACATATAAAAAATGAGTAAATGCGAACCTCTATCTTTTCTCCGTCTCCACATTCCTTTTTCCTTTTCAATAATCTTCAAGATATGATTGAGGTTCTCACATGGTATCGTAAAGTACTTTAAAAAGTAGAATGATAAATGATGATTAGTTTAAATTAGTGCTTGTTTAAAAGTGATTTGAAGCGTTTAGAAGCTATAAGTCCTAAGAAATTTGTGAATGATAAGTTTCCATTTGACAGTCCTATTTTTGCTCATTTTGTTTTCTAGAAGAGCTCTCGGAAGAAATTACATTAAGCTTATTTTCTTCAAAGAATAATAGATTTTGATTTTTCAAAAGTCTTGTCAAACGAGTTCTAAAGGTTGAACCCCAACCTTAAGGGCCCCCACCAACCCTGCCCTGAGCCATCGTGGAGGAAGTAAATCGCAGGATGTGCCTCCCAGGAGTCAGGGTGGAGAGCATATGGATAGGCCAAGGCTGTTAACCCATATGGTAACTCTCGCTTGCAACAAAGCCAATTCCACCTTGCGGGGAATCGAACTCTGCACACTGCCCCGTTGAGCCCTATCCGCCCTCCCCTTTACCACTGGGAGATATGCCCTGGAGGCTGTCAAACGAGTTCTAAATATATGTTAAGTTGTGAGTCTTAAAAATGTATTGATAAAAAAATATGTTTGATGTGATTGAAATGATGTTAAAATATGTTAAAAAATACATTTTTTCTAAAGGACGGAGAAACAAGGGCATAATTTAAGTTTTACCATATCCAAAAGAGCAATGGTGACAAGTAGACAAAAACTGAAGTGTGTGAATTCATTCCGGAACTTCCAAACTTTGACGCGGCAGACGCGGAGGCCCAAAAAAATGGCTTGCTTATGTTGCTGTCGAACTCATTCCTGGTCTTTTGAAAATCTCTTCTTCCGAAGACGGGTTTTTTTTCTGCACCGTCAATCTTGAGTGCTGAACGGCCGCTCTATTGGAAGTAACAAACCCAACGCTCTCGCCCACTCATCTTCAGGATTAGTCCTTACTTTTTTCCTTATAACAGAGAAATTTTGATACAAATTTTGAACTTTTTAGTTGGACGAGTGTTTAATTGGATTGTATCCGTGGTGGCACTGCCTATAGATGGAGTAGGCAATAGCTTAAACCCCCCATTTTGATAAGGCGGTTAATTGATTGGTTGAAAATTATATTTATAAAATTTTTTAAAATAGAATTATCACATGCAAACACGATAAATTAATAAAAATTAAAAATATAAAATTCTTTTAAAAACATGTAAATGGCATAAAACTTATCACTTAAATATATCATAAACATTACTTTTTCTCTCTATACATTTCTTTTCTTAACCAAACAAAAGGTCTTTTTGTCTTTTCAAATTCTACTCACCCATCATAATTTTTTAAACCCAACAAGAAATAAAGAGTAATGTTATTTGTAATCGCTCACTATTATAGTCGTCCTACATTGTATACATATGACAGTTAGTGATTTGATGCATAAATGTGGTATTTTTTTGCCTTCTGCATCAAATGACTAATCGTCACATGTATGTCACGTAGGGCGACTACGATAGTGAGTGATTGCATATAATATTATTTGAAAATAAATTGCCTCCATTTGAATTTGATAGATTAGTATGATCTACAAGTTGCTTTCTTTCTTCCAGATCTACAAGTTGCTTTCTTTCTTCCATATCTTTAAAATATATACTACAGAGTACATAGATTATTATTATTGTTTTGCTTTAATCTTATGATAATATCATTTTTAGATGTTTGTTGAAAGTACTTAGAATTTAATAATTCTTCGTCTGTATTCATACTTCTTATTTATATATTAACTTCTTATGAATTTATATAAAATTATAGTATATTTGATCGTCATTTTCATTATTTTGTTAGATTATCTCTCGCAATCAACATTAACTAATTTTGTACATAAATCATTCAAATGCATATTCAATTTTGTTTAAAAAAGTTCCAGTGAGAAAATGATCAAAGAAACGAACAGACCCATATGTCATTGCATTGTAATTTTGTTTGCTGAAACTTCATTTATAATTTTTATTGCATGTTGAAATTTGACATTTTGTATATTTCTCATCAAATTTTGGGACTTAGTTGATTTTACTAGATCATTCATAATTATAATAAAACTCATTGTAAGAAAGTTCAAAATATAGTGGGCTCCATACTTGAAGTTGGCATAAGGCTTCCAAA